CTCTCCTTTAGTGTAAAACTACTGAACCTCATATTAATTATGATCAGGATTTTTCTATGTTAAACATTGATGTCAAATAATTGTGTATGAATGAATCCTTAATTTACCTTTTTAAAAATTGTTGAGTTGGTTTTCCTAACTCAACGTATTCCTATACTCTTAAATGTTTTCGAGGTTGTATTCTTTTAGTAAGTTGATTAATTTGATAGCATTTAAGGAAAAGAGATACAACATTAAAGGTGGGGTAGGTAATTTTGGAGAAACCAGCTCGAGATTGCTAGAATTTGAAAATACACAACCGGAAAAAATCTGCCACTTCCTCACAGAGCCCCTCCTCCAACACACACGAACGCGCACATGAACAATGAGGGCACGAGATAAGTTTGTGCACAGATGGAAGGCTGACAGGCAGGTAGGCCATCCAGTTATTTTAGCCGGGCCGGCTCAAATGATTGGTCGTGCTTTTTACAGTACTACGGCTTCCACAGATGAAATTTTTTTATGGATTTTTTGTCAAAGCACTTAAGATATTCATTGCTATCGGGATGTTAAGAGCATTCCATGGAATATAACAAAAAGTGTATCTCGAGCCGGTTTCTCAAACTTACCTACCCCACCTTTAATGTATAAGTTCTGTTGACGTAATAATGTTGGTAATTACATCAACTTAATATTGTGTGTAATTTAAACTCGGATTTCTGCGTTGATTGACTTAAAACTAAATTCAAGTTGTAGTAAGTAATGCAATTGGCTTGATAACTTAATTTTTCTACACCTTGAGTTAAGGATTTCAAGTCCACTCCCACTTAACATGCCTGGACAAGTTCAGACAGTTAAGACTGTGTGTTCGAGGACATAAGCTGAAGAAATACTATACAAAGGACATTTTTAAGGTGAGTGTCATCTTTTGTCAATCAAATACAGTAGATAGCCTTGTAGTTGCACAGCAAATTGCTGTTTGACCAAAATTAACAGCATTTGAACTGTGGATAGTTCTGTGAGAGGGTACAAAGTAATAGAGGCAGACAGTTTCTTTTTTGTGTTTCTTGCTCATTTCATGCAGTGTTGCTTTTATATCTAGAAAAACCTGCAGGAAGACCTGTTAGGTATGGTATTTGTATTGTAAAAATACTTTGGTTTCTATTGGGATATAACTTTTTATAAAAAAAATGTCTCAGTCTTAAAGGCTGCATTACATCTATGTAAAGATGTGTAAAGTATCGTAATGTGATTCTGTCAGTATCACCCAGACATACGTGTATCTACTTGATGTTAAGACTTTGCATCAACAGTAATCGCAAAGTATGCCATTCTAGGCCGATTGGTATCTTGTAAAGTTGATTCCTTATTGATTGATTTCTTCCTCTTCAGGCACACTTGCAGAACTTTATTGAAATCAGCTTGAAGTTAGTTAAACATGCTACAGATACTGCCAGGATGACACACACATGCAGACTCACAAGGTGAAAACAATACCATCGTCGCTTTAGCAGCTGGTAATAATGGCTCTGAATTAACTAATGGCGCGTTTCCACTACAGCGCGGAGCACGGTTTAAGAGGGCTGTGACGTCAGCGGCCCGTCTTTGGTTGCGTTTCCACTTGGCCTAGTACCGGCCGGCGGGTCCTAATTCACAGTTTTTCTGGCCTCATAAAATCGTGGGTCTAGGGCCAGAGACAACGAGGCTGAGTTGGGCTGAGTATGCTAAACTAGAGAGAGCATCGCTGGCAAGGGGGCTACAACTACAACAAGATGGACATATTTGACCGTGATTTAATTGTAATACACGTTTCAAAATGATGCCGAAGTAACAACATACTGATACCGGTTAGTAAAAACCATGAATTAATGCTTTGTCAAGTCTGCAGACAGACGGCAGGCGAAAAACCTTTTAAAATGCGTGTTTTCTAAATGGAGATTGGCTAAGCTAACGCAGTATATGCTCCGACCGTCCACACTCACAACAACGGCCTATACAGACATAAATAAAGCAGCGACTGTATTCGCCATGACACAGGCAGTCTGTGGTTTGTACTTGTTTAACTTTTGTCTAGTTTCTGAACATATATGAGGAGCTGTGAGCTCTGAGTGCTAACAGCTAACGGCTGTGTTGTTTTTCTGGGGTTCTCATTGAAGATGACGTCACGGCTCCGCCTACACTGCGTTACTATAGATACTACCCCAGTTCCTAAACTGTAATGGAAATGCGCCATAAAGTGAGCCAGTCCTAACGAGGCCTAGCCATACCGAGCGAGGCCGAGCGAGGCCGTGAAGTGGAAACGCGCCATAAGAGTGATTTTAAAAAGTATGCAATCACCTAATTCATTATCTCTTATACGCTAACCTATCATTTAATTTGCTTCAAAATGACACGAAAGAGTTTAAGGCAGGCCTTGATGGACAAGTGATGAATATCGCCATCATCAGTGACCAGTCCACCCCAGGATCTGACCATAAGATGGCAACCATCGTGGTCGAGGGAACCAAAGTCGTTGAGGGATAGGATATCCCAAGGTGCTGTGCTTTGCTGTTGGGCATAATATTTGCTCTGAATCTGAGCTATCGCAAGGAACTTAAATATACTTTTGAAGTGTTTCAGAAGCTGTTCCTTGAACTTGATGGATTGAAAGCCAGTGCAAAAGCAATGAGTCTCAAGTACAGTATTTTCTGAAGATTCCACTAGTTCCACAGCATGTTACTTGGCTTTGGCGGTTCTCTCCATGGAGACTTGGGTTTTTAAGGGGTCACAATTGTTTAAGATGTATTTAGATGTGTTCCAAAATATGTTATACTGCCTTTGGAGCTGGCCAGCATTTAATCATTAAAAAGGTGATGAATGAGCAAGCATTCTGCGTAAAATGTGTTCATACTGTTTAAAATAATGACTGTCGGCATGTAAACATCTTTGTTACATCTTTTGTAAAATGGATACAGTATGTGTGATCTGCAGATTGGTGGCCATTGAAAGTTTGTTACTGTAGTTTTACAAAAAGTTTGCAAAAGTTCTAGAAAATTATTTTAAAACTAGAGTTACAACATTTTACAGATTTTACACATTTGGCACTGGTTGTAAATATGCAAAGGCCTCTAACTTTGATGTGATGGCAGAATTGATTTGCCGTTTCCCCTTTCATTTCCCATGGTAATATGGCTTATTTGTTTATTTATTATTTGTGGGCCAATTTACATTTCTGTTAATTATTTAATTTTTCTCAAGATTGAAATATCATGTGTTGAAATACACAACTGCAGTTCAAAATAAAAAAGTGAATCGCCTAACATTGTTGTTGTTGTATTAATTAATTTCTTAAAAGGCAAAAAACTTAATTTATAAATGGTTGTCAACTTAAAAACTTTGAATTAAACACTTACAAAAGAAAAAAGACATACATTTCTTGGGGGTGCTTAGGGGGTGCTATGGCTATCCTGGGGGGTGCTTCAGCAAAGCTCTGCTGTCACTGAGACAGACTTTAACTTCGATAAGATAAGATAAAGCTCTGCTCTTTGAGCATTTGTTCCACCTCTCAGTGGCCCGTAACTAAGAGGGAGTGGAGGAAGTATTCCCATCATTTACTAAAGCAAAAGTTTGAATATGACATTGTGAAAAAACGTTAACACAAGTAGAATTCCTGCATTTCCAAACATCTAGTTCAAGTATTCTCATCAAAATGCACTTTATAATAACTGAAGTGCTCGTTGTATAGTAAAAGTGTGTATCAGTGCGCTACTGATGTAATCTAGAAATATTCCAAAACTGTTGTTCGAGTAGAAGTATAAGGTTGCAATAAAAAACAAAAACAAGTCCAACTACAATTTGTATTTCAGAAACACTCAGTTTTATTTATACCACCACTGAAAATACTCAATTACAAGGCAAGGCAAGGCAAGGCAAGTTTATTTATATACCTTTCAACACAAGGCAATTCAAAGTAAAAAGTTCTGCATTTAAAATGTTTAGTTAAATGTCCTTTTTGTAGCAATTAAACTCCTAATAATTGAAGTCACAGTTCAGCTCATTGCTCTGTTTAATAATGAAATAAAACAAACCATAACTAAAGATGGACTATACGGTCAACAAAAAATGTTGGAGGAAAAACTACCCCATTGTCTTTCCACCAACCCAGACATACAAGAGGGGACCTGAATACCATAAACCACACCCTGGAGAACTACTGGAAGTGGTCAAAAACAAATGCGTGCCTTGTAAACAATAATGATAATGATACTAATAAAAACAACAAACACAGGCTAACTACACCGTCTCTTTTCTAAAGGCCTTAGTTGTAAAAAAAATGTTTTGTGGATGCACCTTTTGCACTACATGTACCAGTGACATTGAGAATAAGATTGATTATGAATGCCTAATGCTTAATACAGTGTTGGAGTGTCTAACACGACATGTTGGCTATCTACTGTAGTTAGCTATCACCATATGAGTGGCTCTTGAAATTTAAATTGGAGTTATTATTTAACACCCTATGGTTAGACTTGCAGTGTTGGCCTGTGTCTATTGTTCAGGCAGTGAGAGGTATTATACGAGAAGTGTTTTTTTAAGCAGACCGGGCTCTCTCATAGAGCCAGCAGCTCCTCGCAGCTCCAAAATGTATTATGTATACAATGATTGGACAATAAAAACTAATTTCCCTGGCTCAAGACACAATTGGACATGCAATTGTTTTTTGTTCATTGGTACATTGTGTTTGTTAAATCAACATTCTTGAAGGCAGGTTATGCAGTCATTAGAATAAATGAGACATTACATGATATCAATTTTGTTTTGAAAAATCTGCTTGTAATTTTAGTAAACAACATCAAAGAAAGAAAAAAGAACATTAAATGGTTGTTCTACTCAGTGTGATTGACAGGAGAGATGATCAGCAGTGCAGAGTTTTTACCATAATCATTAAGACCTGGACCAAAATGAGGGTAGAGTTTCTCAGTGAAACAGCAGCCAGTGAAGGAGTAGATCAGAGCTGCAGCATCAACATCATAAAAGGAGACCAGACCCTCCTCATAATCCACAAACACCCCCACCTTCTCAGGCTGAGACTTCAGAGAGAGACGGACTGGAGGGCCAGAAAGCGCTTCGTACTCATTTTCTATCAGCCATATTATCCAGCAACCATCCTGAGGAGTCGCTGTGACGCTTCCCTTCCTGTTGATCGACTCTCTGGCCACTCCTAGAATCCACTCAGTCTTCCCTTTAACCTGAACCTCGTAATAATATCTACCTGAAGAGAAACTCTGCTTTGCTAAGACACGAGCACAAGGATCAAATCTCTCTGGATTATCTGGGAGATTCTTCTTCACATCACCACAGTTTACTTGTTTTCCATCATCAGACAGGATGAGGTTGGGATGTGCTGTATCAGGATCAAGAGTCACCTCCAACTCATACTGCTGGACCCTCTTCAGCTCCACCTCAAGCAGCTTCTTCATCTGTTCACTGAGTGTCTCCTCCAGCTGAGTCACAGCTCTCACCACAGTCCCCTCATAGGAAGGTGGACGGACCCTGACTTCTGTCCAGTTCTTGGTGGGTGGAGCAGCGTTCAGGGACGTGAAGCTTTGGAGGAGGTGGAGCTGGTCTTCAGAGCGTGACAGCTTCTCCACCTCAGAGCTTCTCTTCTTCAGCTCAGAGATTTCCTGTTCCAGCTCTTTGATGAAGCCTTCAGCCTGTTCCTCTGTCTCTCTCTGCTTCTCTTTGATGGTGTCAATGAGCTCGGCCTGGCTTCTCTCAACAGACTCCTTCAGAGCGGTGAAGACCTGAACACCATCTGCTATCTCTCTGTCTGCTCCTTCCTTACTGAGCTCCACTGAGAGATTCATCTCCTGAATCTTCAGTTGTCTCTTCTGGATCATCTGCTGAATTTCAGCCTCTGTCTTCCCCAGCTCAGCCTTCTTTCCTTCATATCCTTCTTTCAGAGGAACAACATCATGTGTCTTGTGGTCTAAAAGAGTGCAGAGCATGCAGACACACACCTGGTCGGTCTTACAGAACAGCTCCAGCAGTTTATCGTGCTTCACACACATCCTGCCTTCCAGGTTCTCCTCAGGGTCGATCAGCTGATGTTTCTTCAGACCTGCTCTTGTCAGATGAGACTCCAGGTGAGTCTCACAGTAGGACTCCAGACACACCAGGCAGGACTTCAGGGCCTTCAGTCTGGTTCCAGTGCAGGCGTCACAGGGAACTTCTCCTGGTTTGACAACTTGTTGCTCTGAGCTGCTGCTGCAGGCTTTCTGTTGAGCTGACTGTCTGAACTGAGCAGCCATCTCAGAGATGAAAGTGTTGACGCGCAGCTCAGGCTTTATGTTGAAAACCTCTTTGCAGTTGGGACACTGACTCGGGACATTTCTATCCCAGTGTTCAGAGATGCAGGCTTTACAGAAGTTGTGTCCACATGGTATGGCGACTGGATCAGTGAACACATCCAGACAGATGGAGCACAGAAACTGATCTTCAGTCAGCAGACAGCTGGCAGCAGACATGTCTACTCTCTGGGGATAAACATGTTGGAAAAAACATTAAAGGTCACCTACTATGCAAAATCCACTTTTCCTGTCTTTTATACATCAACATGTGTCCCCTCGGTAAAGATACTCTGAAAGCTTCAGGAACAAAGATTCTCCCTCTTTTTGTCCTGATCCATTTATATAAAAACCTGTCTGAAAATGAGCTGATCAGATTTTGGCCACTTTATGATGTCATAACGATTTTTTGGCTTGTGTAACCATTAGCCAATCAGCAACCAAGATAACCCCCCCCACCTTATCACCTGAATCTCCTCCTAGAGCACCATTGTGTTCTTTTTAACCAAATATCTCTCAGAGGGGCGTGGGGAGTGGCTCCTTATTTTCATCTAAAGTAACAGACAGAGAATCAGCACTTTTGAAACAGAGGGGATTATGGGATGCTGCAATGATCTGTTTGGTGTTTCGAGGCCAAACACTTCAGAGACATGTTTTGTATATCTGAGACCTATAATAAAGTAATGAAAAACAGTATAATAGGAGACCTTTAAATATAGTTTTAATTATTTGTTTAAAAATAATCAAACTATGAATTGTCCTGAATTATGTACAAATAGAAACTGAGTGAAGAAGAGCCTGATGTGCAGTTCATTTTTATTTATTGGAAATCACCAAGCCAAGAAAATAAGTGATAATAGAGATGTTTTTCACAACAATAATAAATGAAAACAATATGATATTATATTATTGAGCTTAATGTAATTATTAATAAATTAACAATGATTAACTTACACACATTAATTCAACATATGTATTGAAAGAAAACACACAAAACAGGACCATGACAGAGGGAGAGTAAAAAGGTGAATGTATTCAGGTACTGTACTTGAGTTTTCTTTTATATTTTGTATTTATACCTCTCCACCAAAAATATCAACTAAATTATGATTTAATAAACCTCAGGGTAATTTAACAAGCAATACAATAAAATGTTCTATACATTTATCCATCAATAATTATAATCCAATTGTATAATACATTTTACTTTTTAAAAAGGATATTCTTTAAATGTTTTAACTTTTTCTTAGTATATTTCCACATTGTGGTATTTTAATTAACGATTTTTTGGCTTGTGTAACCATTAGCCAATCAGCAACCAAGATAACCCCCCCCCACCTTATCACCTGAATCTCCTCCTAGAGCACCATTGTGTTCTTTTTAACCAAATATCTCTCAGAGGGGCGTGGGGAGTGGCTCCTTATTTTCATCTAAAGTAACAGACAGAGAATCAGCACTTTTGAAACAGAGGGGATTATGGGATGCTGCAATGATCTGTTTGGTGTTTCGAGGCCAAACACTTCAGAGACATGTTTTGTATATCTGAGACCTATAATAAAGTAATGAAAAACAGTATAATAGGAGACCTTTAAATATAGTTTTAATTATTTGTTTAAAAATAATCAAACTATGAATTGTCCTGAATTATGTACAAATAGAAACTGAGTGAAGAAGAGCCTGATGTGCAGTTCATTTTTATTTATTGGAAATCACCAAGCCAAGAAAATAAGTGATAATAGAGATGTTTTTCACAACAATAATAAATGAAAACAATATGATATTATATTATTGAGCTTAATGTAATTATTAATAAATTAACAATGATTAACTTACACACATTAATTCAACATATGTATTGAAAGAAAACACACAAAACAGGACCATGACAGAGGGAGAGTAAAAAGGTGAATGTATTCAGGTACTGTACTTGAGTTTTCTTTTATATTTTGTATTTATACCTCTCCACCAAAAATATCAACTAAATTATGATTTAATAAACCTCAGGGTAATTTAACAAGCAATACAATAAAATGTTCTATACATTTATCCATCAATAATTATAATCCAATTGTATAATACATTTTACTTTTTAAAAAGGATATTCTTTAAATGTTTTAACTTTTTCTTAGTATATTTCCACATTGTGGTATTTTAATTCAATAAATGATCAGAGTACTTCCTACCCGTCTAGTAAATACTGAAGTATGAGGTATTGATGTAAATGTATCCTCATAGTTATCACTAATTCCATCCTCCATACATCATTGTAATTTAAATTTGTAACTAACTTTAATCAAATTCAGTTTATCATTGCTGAGTTTGGTGTGCGTCTCTTTTGTTGGAGCCAACGAGCCGTTTGTCACGATGGTAGCCAGCATTTAACTGCATCGCCCTATAAAGACATGTTGGGGAACAAGTCCGACTGGTCTGCAGTGTAGCGTGTTAAAGTCTGAAAACGTTTCATTTAGCTCAGCTGGGGACTGGGGCGGATACGGAGAGTCAAGGAGTTCACAAACTTTACTTTAGATTATTTTTGCAAAGGGTTTTATTCTATTTACATAATTTCTTGAGGCGGCCTCTCACTGCCTGCTGCCAGTCACTTTTATAGCTGTAGCATTTAGCTGCTTGTTAGTTATTGGAATAAAAGTAAAAACATTTCCTAATAATACGTGAAAACAATAATAAACTAATATTTTATATTGTTGCAGTCATTAAATCTAAAGCCTTGTTCCTTGTTTATATCAGCACTTTGATATGTAAAATCATAATAAAGTAAAATGGAAAACCATTAAAAACCCAATGATCCCTCCACGACTGTCACATTACACATCAATCAATATCATAATACTGCTACCCTGCTCATATGACATAGCTGCTTATATTGTTATTAGAGGGAAAACGGTATTTAAAGCAGCTTGAGTACTTTTAATATTGACCCTAAGACATGTATTATTATATAATGTAATGTATTTTGGTATGATTTATATTTATTACTTGTTGTATTAAAGCGTCTGAGGGAGAGTAAGTGTCAGTGAGTCAGCTTGGACAAAGAGGAAAAAGAGGAGAATCAGAAATGCAGAAAAAATATATGTAATATTTAAGTTAAACATTTTCCCTGGCTGCGGCGTTGAGTGGCACTTCCTGTCTGAGCAGAGCTGAGGCTTTGAGTTCATACAGGAAACAGGTCTGGAAATTAGCCTAAGCTAATGCTAGCTGTGACATTACCCTGTCTAAACTTCACTAGCCAGAGTTGAGTCACTGGGTTTGGTTTTAAATCTGCTTTGTACTCAAGTCTAAATGTAAATGTTTTGATCTTAAAAGACACATTTATATGTACTAATATTCACTATATGTCTGAACAGACGTACCAGCCTCAGATTCTGATTAAACTAAACCTTGTTCAAATATTTAGTTAGTGATTGTGTCTGTAGTTTACTCACCAGTATTTGGAATAAGTTCTGCTGTGTTGTTGAGAAAAGCTGCTGGATTCAGTCGAGTGTTTCTTTAGAGAGAAGCAGAGAGACGTGCAGCTGTTCTGTCGCTCAGACAAACTTTCACTTTCAATTCTGGGAAGTTGAAGCTCTCCTATTTCAGTGTAGCTCCACCTCTCAGTGGCCCACCAAGAGGGAGTGGAGGAGGAACTACAGGGCCAACAAGGCGTTTCTTTCTCCAACGGTTTAGACACCACCAACACTTCAACTCCCATAATCCTTTCTGCTGCAAACACTACAAATACCATCAATCTCAGAGAGTTTAAATGACTAAGTTGTTGTGTGTTTTGGAGCTGAAATTCTACAGTTGACAGAAAAAGAGAAAAGCAAACATTATTAACTTGATTGAGATTTTTATTTAAAGGGCCCATGTCATGGCCATTTCCACTGATCATAATTACATTGTTGAGGTATACTAAAATAGATTTATACTGTGCAATTTTCCAAACTCACATTGGTTTCGCATACAGCATCTCTGTCAAGTATGTGTATTCAGCAGTATTCACTCTCTCCACTAAACGACTCGTTGGAGCTCTTGCCCCCCCCTCCCTGTGAGCCTAGTGTGCTCCGATTGGTCAGCTCGGCCACTCTGTTCTGATTAGTCAACCACCAGAGAGGCTCCGCCCATGTCTAACAGTGCTTTTTCCGGCTCTCTCAGCGGAACATCAGTCTTATAATGGCGTCGGTACAGCCGTATATTTTATACGCTAACTAACCGAACTGTACCTACAACTGTTGTTATCGAAGAGTGTGACGGCCCCAGGGCCTTTGTCTTACGATGGGGTGGAGCTGAAGAGGCTAATCAGCGCGATCACGGACACCTGGCCGGAGCCGAGGTGCTATTAAGCCCAGCTGCCCGGAGTCACACGGCGGCCCCTCTCTCTCTCCAAAGCGGCTCAGCGATCCCCTCGACCACCTATCTCTGCATTTACCACAATAAATGTGCCGTGGTTTTGTAAACTTGTGTATGTCTCCTTGTCTTTCCGTTGTGGCCTACGAGCCGGTCATAACAAAGAGTAAGTTATTTTTACCTGTTATAAACTACTACTGTTTGATGAGAAATCAAATCATGGTTTGCTATATATGAATGATATGTTATAGGATTGCAATTATAAACACGTTATTGCTAGCCTAATATGAACCACTAGCTTTTGTTCATAGTAGTTTTATTACTCTACATTATAGTTGCCGTTCCTCCGAGCTAGCGTTCATATCGTGTTAGCTACCAAGGTAAACAAAGCTAGGTTAGCATATTAGCTGGCAAGCTGTTCATTAGATGGATTAGATAGATCCACACTCCTACCACAACTACTACTAACGAATCTAAAACAACTAAGTTTCTCTAATATTTTGTGATTTGCATTTGATTTCGTCCAGCCAGATCCTGCCGGACAATACATGACAGGACTACCACACTGATGCATCGTCCTAAAAAGCCCCGGCTGCTATAGGAGCAAATCATTCAGGGAAGAAAGGATAGGCCTACTAAGTATTTCCATTAAACTTTATTTTTAGAAATGTACAAAATGAACGTAAATATACATATATATACACACGGTATATCATCAATTACTCCCCGTTCTCACCAGAATGCGTGACTCCACCACGACTCCTTAACACTGCATTGCGTGGTGGAGTCACGAACTTTGTTACATTTACGTGTCTGCACCACGCAAACAACCCCAATGTAAAGTGAATGAGGCTCCTTTGTCGTGGTGCACACACGCATTTCCACAACGTCCCGCAGTGAGCTTTTATTCTATAAAACGTTTTTAAAATCTACTTTATAGCTTGTAGTAACTCACGGGAGGTTTCTTTTATTTTATTTGTATTCATAATCATTTTTATTTTTCGTCAGAATGTATTATGGTGCATTAGTTACGAATTTTTGTTCTCAAAAAACAGTGCATTGTGTGTAATACAACTGTGATTTTTATTAAATTAGTTAGTTTTTAAGGAAGGCCAGAGCTTCAGCTGTGTCAAATAGATTGTTCCTTTTAGTTAACGTTATTTAAAAGATAATTATATTCCTATTTGATCATGTCCCCTTTATTGTATTACGGACACAGAGAGCAATGTGAGCGTCCATTCCCATTCATTTTACACCCGGAAGTAAGTATTATCCTTACTGTCGATTGATTTTATTTACAGTGATATCTGCACTACTCATCGACTCAAAAACACCAGATTATCCTTGTTAATTACACAACATTGATTGGTTTAAATTGTGTGCAATGCTTTTGTATTTTCCCCTTTCGATTCGGAGAAACAAATATTTGTTCGTAGTGTGTGGATGGCAGAAGACACTACACTACCCAGAATCCTCAGCTATGGGACTACACCATGTGCTTAGAACGTGTCCTACCTCCCCCCTTAGGTCACAGGCTCCTCCAACAGTGCAACACAATAAAACAGATACACAGACAAAATAGTGCAGTAAATACAAAAATAAAAATAGTAAAATAGTAAAAAGTGAAATAGTGCAATAAGAGTCTATATACAAGTGATTGAATATGATATATTAGATAAATAATTTCTAAGTAGCAGCCAGATGAATGTTATGGATGTTGTTTCAAAGTTCAGGTGTTTAATAGTCTTCTGGCCTGTGGGATGAAGCTGTCCCTGAGTCTGGTGGTTTTAGTCCCGATGCTGCGGTACCGCCTGCCAGACGGCAGCAGACAGAACAGTTTGTGGCTGGGGTGATGGGGGTCTTTTATAATCCTGAAGGCTTTCTTTAAGGTTAACCTGGTATTTTTACTCCACTACATTTATTTTAGTTACTTTACAGATTTGGATTAATGATGTGAAATATAAACAACCCTTAAATCAGACTTTAGTTACACCTGAGTAAAATTCAGTGAAGGTGATTGTCAAGTGCCAACAATCAGGCGAGATATTTGGTAGTGGGTGCTTGAGAAGGCTAAATATTTATCTGCAGATCCCTATAAAGTATATTCATAACTCATTATTCAATAGTTAATTAAAAACTGTATATAATGGCTATTTTGCACATCCCTTTCAAGATTTCAAGATTTTCTAAGGTTCATTGACATATCATATACACAACTATGGTGTAGTTATGCAATGAATGAAAAACTTGGGTCACAGGTTCCTCAACAGTACATTACAAGACATCTATCGATATGTGTGTACCTCGACCATTAAACATATTCTGCACATTTCTTATACTATCTACACACATCTTATAAGAGTATAATTAATATGTATAATATCAGTTAAAATAAGTGCTTCAACATAGTTAACATTGCAGGAAAGTTGATTGTCAAGTTCCAAAACAAACCATGCAATATATTAGACGTTAAGTACTTTGTCAGGCTTAATATCTGTAGATACCCCCAAAGCTTTTTTCTTATTTAAAAGAAGACCTTAACCTAAAGTATTCTTTCATGTTTAAATAAAGCCTTATTAGTTTGTCTGTTTTGCACATCCTCCTATCAGGCACTAAACTGTTTTATTGTAGAGATCACTTACAGTATCTTCTTGATATTTTCTATTCTATATTATTTATATCATTGACCTTCCACTTTCCCACTATATTAAGAGTATGTACTCTTAATATTTAAATGTTTTCATCAAATATAACACATTCAAAAGTGCTTTACAAAAATGAAAGACATTAAGAAAAAGGCATATTAAAACAGTCATTAAAAAGCAACACAATCTACCTGCATTGCAATTACTCTAAACGTGTAATAACGTGCTTTAACCAGTAGAAGGTGCGGGTTAAAAAACTGTCAAGTTTACAGTGTTAACAAAATAAAATATACTGCTGTTTCTGGTTTAGTTTACGACGGATATATTCTGTTATTGTTTTGATATTTGTAACACAAAAGCGATGTAAAAAACCCACAGCAACACAGAAAAGATGGTCTTAAAATGACCCAGCGGTCTAGGGTACCGCATGACATCATGCCGTACCCGGAACTAAATGGAAGACTCAAATGGGCAGTGACGTATCTCCAATGAGGCGTTTTGAGGAGGTATTTTCTGTGTTAGAGTTTTACTCGCTACAGGGTGTACTTTGAGGGTTTTGACTCTGCACACCGTTTACATGCATAAAAACCTTCATAACACACAAGGGGACGGGTAATAACCGGAAAAGCATGACATGGGAGCTTTAAGATATTTTAGGGGCAACAATTTCATATTCTACTTCCTTCACTTTAGCTTCCTTTCTCTTCCATACAATTATGTTTCCTATTAAACTAAACTGCAATTCCTTTTCAAGGTAAACTATTTTCTCCCGTATTACAGTTCCAGTTTTAAACACAAGGTAACTGTTGAAAACACTGAAACACTACTTGTTAATGTTTAGAAAAATCAGGTTCGGATTTTAATAATCATTATATAATACATTATGGCTGTAAATCAGGGGTCGGCAACCCCTGGCACGCGTGCCACCAATGGCACGCGGCACCGTAACCAGTGGCACACTAGGAATAAGTGGAATAAGTGTACAAAATATTTATTTTATTTTCGGATCCTGAACGAGACCGCCGCCAGAGCGCATCTCCCCGTTACCTGCAGAAGGAAGCCATGCACGCAACGCAGCCCCACTCAAAAAGGCCGATCGCGAGACGTAACATACATGACACTTTTCTCTGTGTGCGGCAAAACAAGCTCGCCAAAATCGCTTCACCAGTCTGGCAGTATTTTAAGGTGTCCGAAAAAGACAATAAAATAGCGGTATGCAACGTGTGTGAAGCAGAAACCCTGCAGCTCCACCCGCTGTGAGCCGGACCGGTGAGCGGAGCAGAACACACAAGAGTTAGACCTAACACACTTAGCTATTTGATCTACCTTTGGAACTAGTTATAAATATATTTATTCTTCACTGTCACTCATTACTGGATCAGTGAGCTGCATGAGATACTGACAGGCTGTCAGGAGAGAGAGAGAGGGGGAGAGAGGAAAAGAGAGCGCTTCCGCTCATTTCTCCCGTGTTATTATCCAAAGTTAATGTAAACTTGAATAATGTAGGCTACTTCATTTGAATGTAATAATTATGTAGGTTGTTGTTTGTGGAAACGCCAGTGAATGAGCCCCATGTTTTAAACCTCACTTTTCACGAGTGTTTTTGTCGAGCTCTTCAACCCCCCTGCACGCCGGGGGCACCGTGATAAAAAAATGTATCAGCGTGCCGACGATCGTGAATTATCAAGGGGGGGCCTTGAAAATTCACGATCGTCGGCACGCTGATACATTTTTTTTTTTAGAATGGCACTTCATATCAAAAAGGTTGCCGACCCCTGCTGTAAATGATAGCTTCTGGTTTCCACGGACTGACCAGAAATATATTTCTGATACATCAAAAACAAATAAAATCTTTTACCTCAAATCGTAATTGACAATGCAGTTTAGTTCATACAATTAAGGAGAACCAGATCAAAAAATCGGTGACATACAGAAAACAGCAACATGCTTTTTTATCCCAGAAAAGTAGTAACAATAATATTGTTTTTTTTTATGTGACCATTTTTTTAATAATTGTCCACATTTTATAATGTTGCAATGAATCCCTCCTACTCGTCCTTCCACATATCAAGGTTTTTATATATCGACAATCATATTTTACATAAAGGGTATCACCAGGTCACTAGCTCTTGTGACATCCTTTTATGTTTCTACATCAGCGTTATTTACAGATGCACTTAACAGTTGATTAATACTTTATAAAGGGAAGATATCCTTTTCTTTCTCGTAAATTATGTATACATACTAAACTATTGTTTTTCAGATACACAGAAGGCATGTTGGACTTGGGTTTATTCTCATCTGTGTTCTCAGTGTGTGCTCGGGCTAAAGACACCTTATCCATTTTTAAGATTAGGATTAAGACTTTGCTTTTTGATAAAGCTCAAAGTTAGGGCTGCCTAGAATCAGCCCTCAGTTTTGCTGCAACTCAGATCTCAAACATAGAGTATTTATATGTCTTTCTACTTTTTAATTAAAGTAAAAGTACTCTTTCTGCACAATGGCCCATTTCAAAATAATGTTGGATTATAATTATTGATTCATATTTTTTGAATTATTTAAAAATGACAGCAGGTGAAGTTAGTGCTGATTTATTTATTTATTTTTAAAGATATGTTTTGGGCCAGAGAGTGACTTCATTAGAGATGCAGGGTTGAAAAGAGGAGAAAGAGGGGATGGCATTACCTACAATGTTTATTGTCCTCAGGATTCAAACCCTCTTCCCTGGCAGCTCTTACCAACAGCAGCCCAATGGTAGATTTCTTTGTTAAATATACCACCATGTATCTTGTGAATTTCACAAAAATATCAATAAAATATTTTCTTAACCTAAAATAATACATGACAAACTATTTGTTGAGGACATTTAGTATTATCTGAAGTAAACTACAGGAACCTCAAACATTGTACTAACCCTAACCCTAACCCTAACTTCCCACCTCTGCAAACAACAGATTGCTTGTGGAGGTGGTTCAGGAGTTACAGGATATCCTTCATTTGTCAAAGCAACTTTCATCATCTGTAATAATGACAGAATGTTAATGCTGTATTAAAGATAACTAACTATGTCCAGCCCTCATTCTCTGCTGTCTTGTTCATCTATAGAAGACTCAGCAGCTGTCTCCATCACGGCCTGCGCTTATTAAGACCTTCTGTGATTCGGCGTTATCAGCAGAGATCGACCACAGCATCCACTGGCCGGAGGAAGATGGATGCGACATCAAAAGTTTGGACCAGTTATTCATCTAGAACAGTGGTCACCAACCTTTTTAAGCCCAATATCACCGACCTCGGCCGAGGTGAAAGGCGAGATCTACCTATTGCAGAATTGAGTGAAAAAGACGGCCCAGACAGTGCTTACTTACAGGCCTTTTATATAGGCTGCATCTGAATTACTGTTACAATGAAGGCTCGATAATCAGCTCACGGCATATAGGCAGGGGTAAAGTGCTCTATTTTATGATTGGGGGGCGGACCTCACCTCCTGGGGGGTCTGGGGGGATGCTCCCCCGGGAATATTTTGTTTTTAATATTGAAGTTAAAAGCATCAATCTGGTGCACTTTGAGAGCAACATGAAGAGATCTATGAATACCTCTCTCAGCACCCATATGAAGCAGAACTGTAAACAGATTTTCTTTTTCTTTATGGATATTTTACAAATCACTCCCCTTTTAAACTGTATTCTTGTTTTACTGCCATATAGTATTTCATACCTGTTTTTCATTTTTTCTCTTATTGTTTGTATAACTATAATGATCATATGAAGGTGTGCCGCGGAAATAATCTTTTGAATCATTTGTGACAAAACCGTTTGAGACCCACTGAGATAATTTAGACTAAAGTGAACTATATCTAAACACTCAGAGAGTCACCTGAGCCCCTCAGTCTGAGAGGAGAGGACTCTCCTCCAGCTTGTTGTGGAACAAACAGCTCCTTATGTCCGTTAGTGCAGCTAGCTAACCAGATGCTAACATCACGGTCCCCGCTGGCACCGGTCCCTCTCTCTCCCTCCCTCTCTCCCTCCCTCTCTCTCCCTCTCTCTCTCTCTCACACTAAATGCGCTATTGCCACACACACACACAGAGCCGAGCTTGAATGACACAAGCACACGTGTATTTCCATGCAACTCTCTGATTGGTATGGTGTCATGCCTCTGTTGCATTCACTGAACACGGGAAATTGCAGTCCTGCCGTCCTCTCTTGTGTCATGATAAGGTTCACGTAAAGCACGGTTAATGTATTATATTATTGAGGTGTCTAAAATATACGTCAATCAAGTGGCACCTGCAAACGAGGTGGTGGATGATAGGTTTACATCTAAAAACTTATTTTTCAAACATTATTATTTTTATTTAATTTGTATTTCTTTTGTTACTTTTTTTTTTAACGGTCCGCGATCTACCCGCACCACACTCGATCGGCCGGTTGGCGACCACTGATCTAGAAGAAGGACGAGGCAGAGTGTGTCTGAGGTGAGAAAACCCCAACTCGTGTTTGGTCTTTGACCGAGCACAACACAGTTTAGAATCTGGGGTTCAGAGATAAATCATGGCAAGACCTTTATTTGAATCATTCCTGATTTCATAGTGATGTAACTATGTTCTGAAAGTAAACAAAGGAGTACAATTTAGGTGTTTCAGATGGGGGGTGGGGGGGGGAGTTTGTGGGAGAGAAACACAGGGATGTAAGACTTTGCAGACCATTTACAAGCACAAAAAACGATATAACACACTACAGGAAAGGGAAAAGCTCATAAAGCCTAATAAGGCCTCTTGGTTGGTTTCTGTATCTTGTGGGATACAGTCATTTAACATGCTGTGTAATATTGATGTTATATGTATGTAATGTGGGTGAACTAATGGTGTAATAACAGTGTTATATGGGGGTGAAATAGATTAAATATCGGTTTAATATTATATAAATGGGCAATGTATTTGTCATTTCAACCTAGAAACTTTAGAAAAAAGCAATTAAAGGGTTAAACTGCCTGTACTGAAGACGTCTTTACAAGTTTTTCCAGCTTTGAATGTCATTAGCTTTACCCATATTTTAAATTGACTAAAGTTCCTTCACGTGTTCACCTTTCTTGATTCATTTGAGGTATTTGTAAATTACTTGAGAGAGAAACAAAACAATGAAGACAGAAATCCAGGGGAAATTTATTTAGCTTTTTATTTAATTGAGAATATGTTTAAACTATACAAATAGTCTGTAGAGAGTTGGACAATATGAAATGAAAATAACAGATTGAAACACCACTTTTTCTTCTTCGCTTTGTAAAACCACTGCAGCTGAATATTATACAATCAGAATGTTCCAAAAAAAGTGTAAAAATATAAATAAAAAAATAATCCTTAAATGTGCCCTGAAATAAACCAGATAACAATCTCTTATAGGTTCCCCTAAATTACAATATTTAAAATATAATATATGATTAGGAGCTAATTCAAAGTTTGAGATCAACACCCATACATTCAAGGACTAAGTTAATTCTTCGTATTCAAAATTACAGAATCAGAAGCTAAAAGATCAAAAATATATACAATGCACTTCCCCAATGATAGACTACTCTACTCAGTGTGATTGACAGGAGAGATGATCATAGGGGCAGAGTTTTTACCACCATCGTTCTTACAGGGACAGAAGTATGGGTAGAGTTTATCTTTGAAGTAGCAGCCAGTGAAGGAGTAGATCAGAGCTGCAGCATCAACATCATAAAAGGAGACCAAACTCTCCTCATAATCCACAAACACCCCCACCTTCTCAGGCTGAGACTTCAGAGAGAGACGGACTGGAGGATCAGCAAGAGCTTGGTACTCATTTTCATTCCTCAACACTATCGCCCAGTAACCATCCTCAGGAGTCCCTGAGATGATTCCCTTCCTGTTGATCGACTCTCTGGCCACTCCTAAATCCCACTTAGTCTTCCCTTTAACCCGGACCTCGTAGTAGAATCTTCCTGAAAAGAAACTCTGCTTTGCTAAGACACAAGGACACAAATCAAATCTCTCTGGATTGTCTGGGAGATTCTTCTTCACAACACCATCTTTCACTTGTTTTCCATCATCAGACAGGATGAGATAGGGAAGTGCTGTATCAGGATCAAGAGTCACATCCACCTTATACTGCTGGACCCTCTTCAGCTCCACCTCAGGGAGCAGCTTCTTCATCTGTTTACTGAGCGTCTCCTCCAGCTGAGTCACAGCTATCCTCACAGTCCCCTCATATGAAGGTGGACGGACCCTGACTTCTGTCCAGTTCTTGGTGGGTGGAGCAGCGTTCAGGGACGTGAAGCTTTGGAGGAGGTGGAGCTGGTCTTCAGAGCGTGAGAGCTGCTCCACCTCAGAGCTTCTCTTCTTCAGCTCAGAGATTTCCTGTTCCAGCTCTTTGATGAAGCCTTCAGCCTGTTCCTCTGTCTCTCTCTGCTTCTCTTTGATCGTGACGATGAGCTCGGCCTGGCTTCTCTCAACAGACTCCTTCAGAGCGGTGAAGAACTGAACACCATCTGCTATCTCTCTGTCTGTTCCTTCCTTACTGAGCTCCACTGAGTGATTCATCTCCTGAATCTTCAGTCGTCTCTTCTGGATCATCTGCTGAATTTCAGCCTCTGTCTTCCCCAGCTCAGCCTTCTTTCCTTCATTTTCTTCTTTCAGAGGAACAACATCATGTGTCTTGTGCTCTGAATAGGTGCAGAGCATGCAGACACACACCTGGTCGGTCTTACAGAACAGCTCCAGCAGTTTATCGTGCTTCACACACATCCTGCCTTCCAGGTTCTCCACAGGGTCGATCAGCTGGTGTCTTTTTAAGCCTTTCTTTGTCAGATGAGGCTCCAGGTGAGTCTCACAGTAGGACTCCAGACATACCTCGCAGGACTTCAGGGCCTTCAGTCTGGTTCCAGTGCAGACGTCACAGGGAACTTCTCCTGGTTTGACCACTTGTTGCTCTGAGCTCCTGCTGCTGGCTTTCTGTTGAGCTGACTGTCTGAACTGAGCAGCCATCTCAGAGATGAACGTGTTGACCAGCAGCTCAGGTCTTGGGAAAAAGACCTTATTACAGTTGGGACACTTTAATGGGACATTTCTATCCCAGTGTGCAGAGATGCAGGCTTTACAGAAGTTGTGTCCACATGGTATGGTGACTGGATCAGTGAACACATCCAGACAGATGGAGCACAGCAACTGATCTTCAGTCAGCAGACAGCTGGCAGCAGACATGTCTACAATCTGAGGACAAAAAGTGTACAAATATCAACAATTCAATCACTTTTGATTATCTGTACAAAAAAATCAAACTGTGAGTCATCGTGAATGATGTTAAAATATTATGAATAACTAAGTGAATGAGAGCTCTGATTTTAATTTCAGTGTTGTTATTTCCATGAGATCACAAAACCAAGAAAAGAAAGTGATAACATGGAGATCTTCATCGCAATACATTTCATTCCAAATACTATTATATTATGAGGGGCCGTACAGGCCGTAATTCATACTGGTCCTCTCACACACATACAGTCTCCTTTTACGTATACATTTTCACTCTCACACACATACAGTCTCCTTTTACGTATACATTTTCACTCTCACACACACATTCTCCTTTTACATACATACATTTTCACTCTCACACATACATTCTCCTTTTACATACATACATTTTCACTCTCACACATATATATTTACACTCACACATTCATACATTTTGCTCTCATATTATCATATTTCAATGCACACATTCATACATTGTCACTCACATATTTATACATGTTTCACTCACACATATACATTTTGCTCTCATGCACATTCATTCAGTGTTTCCATTTAATATTATAAATAATATATGCATGACTGAAGACAATATATGTATGCAAGAGAAGAATGCATGTATGTGTGAGAGAAAGTATAGTGGAAACGGAAGGAGTATAGTTGAAACGGAAGGCAGGTCATTATCGCGCTGTGATTGGCTCAGAAGGTTGAGCGGGGCGGGCTCATGTTCAGAACTTCGGATTCAAATCAACATGATGGAGGGAGATGAATGTTGAACTAGGAGCAGAGAAATATATTAAAAGAGCAGCATCATTAGAGACCGACCAGAGTGACAGAGTGTGTCACTTTGCTGAAGGATAGTTATGACCAGCTATCCAGGCCAGTCTGTAAAGACTTTCCAAGGTGTAAAATGCTGCTGCCGGAGTACTGACTGGAAGTAGTGCTGATATCATGTCTACCATATCCTCTTAAAATACTCTGTCCACCAATATAAGTGTCATGAAGAAAGGTGTTTTAACGCTTATTCGAAATAGCAGAGAAACATGCATTCTTGTACTCAGGAGGGGGCATTGACAGAGGATTACTCAAAAGGTACACAGTAAAAGTACTTCATAGTACTTGTGGGAGTAGTTTCACTAGTACTGAGTCCAACAGAATCAATCTCACGAAACATTTTTTCCCTCATCAAACTTAGCAGAAGTGGCTTGAATTTGTTCTCAGGAGGGGACATTGACAGAGGAAAAAAAAAAACACACTAGAAGGACTTCATTGTATTGTGGTAATAGGTATAAGACTACTGAGTCCAGCAGTCTCAATATTATTAAGAACTAATGGTAAAATTGTCTTTTTATCACTCATCAAAGATAGCAGAAAACATGCATTATGTACTATGGAGGGGACTTTGACAGAGGATTACTCAAAAAGTACACAGTAAAAGTACTTCATTTTATTTCTGGTAGCAGTCAATTAGTACTGAGTCCAACAGTGTCAGTTTCATAAAGAACTTAGGGAAACAAATATTTGTATCGATCATCAAATATAGCAGGAAAGAAAATGAAGAGCTGCTGATTTGAAAAAACAAACGCGAGAGACGGCTGAGTGACCGCAGTCCAGAATCGCTGTATAGTTTAAATCTCCTAACAATGTTGTCCATTTTAGACATAGACTTATTATATTTACAGCCCTTAATAACATTCATTTTCTGGACTCAATGTGTGTCTTGGCCGTTTTCGTTGTGATCGCTAAATTCACCTTGTTTCCCCTTGTTTATAATATTATCACCAATCCAAGCAAACGAGTGCTTTTGTTTTGAAATCACTTCCGTGAGTTTCGCCCCGCCCCTCGCTCCAATGACCATTAGACCATTTAGTAAGGTAAAAAACAAAAAGCAAAAAGGCCGCGCAGACGCTCTTCCGTTTACTTTTTAATAAATAAAAACAAAAGGTCCGAAGATACACGGATTAATCTCCCTCTATCATGTTGATTTGAATCCGAAGTTCTGAACATGAGCCCGCCCCGCTCGACCTTCTGAGCCAATCACAGCGCAATAATGACCTGCCTTCCGTTTCAACTATACTCCTTCCGTTTCCACTATGCTCCTTCCGTTTCCACTATACTTTCTCTGATTCTCTGATTTGAGTAATCCTCTGTCAATGTCCCCTCCTGAGTACAATAATGCATGTTTCTCTGCTATTTTGAATAAGCGTTAAAACACCTTTCTTCATGAGACTTATATTGTTGTACAGAGTATTTTAAGAGGATATGGTAGACATGATATCAGCACTACTTCCAGTCAGTACTCCGGCAGCAGCATTTACACCTTGGAAAGTCTTTACAGACTGGCCTGGATAGCTGGTCATAACTATCCTTCAGCAAAGTGACACACTCTGTCACTCTGGTCGGTCTCTAATGATGCTGCTCTTAATATATGATTATTTCTCTGCTCCTAGTTCAACATTCATCTCCCTCCATCATGTTGATTTGAATCCGAAGTTCTGAACATGAGCCCCGCCCCGCTCAACCTTCTGAGCCAATCACAGCGCGATAATGACCTGCCTTCCGTTTCAACTATACTCCTTCCGTTTCCACTATACTTTCTCTCACACATACATGCATTCTTCTCTTGCATACATATATTGTCTTCAGACATGCATATATTATTTATAATATTAAATGGAAACACTGAATGCATGTTCATGAGAGCAAAATGTATAAATATGAGCGTTAAAATATATGAATATGAGAGCAAAATGTATATATGTGTGAGTGAAAAATGTATAAATATGTGAGTGACAATGTATGAATGTGTGCATTGAAATATGATAATATGAGTGTAAAATGTATGAAGGTGTGAGTGTAAATATATGTGTGAGAGTGAAAATGTATGTATGTAAAAGGAGAATGTATGTGTGTGAGAGGACCAGTATGAATTACGGCCAGTACGGCCCCTCATATTATATTGTTGAACCAAAATGGAGCTCAAATGCTTTTTCTCTTGCCGGTTTACCACAAGGTGAGTACGTTTTTATATCCTGCTTCTTTACACATACTTTCTCCAGTACAGGTTAGCTCTGAGTGTTAGTGATGCTTGCTAATGTAAACAAATACCATATTACGTCCAAAACACGTTGCATTGTTTCTGATAGCAACGTTTCTGATAGGGCTGTGGGTGTAAAGCCCGCCCACATTTCAGATATTACGTCATGACCGCAGCAAATCTGGATCAGCTCTGCTGTTCCCCCCCGTTTTTAGAGATTTGGGCACGGAGGAAAAAAGAGAGGGTTTTATTTTCTGACACTTTGTGAGTCTCCTGACACACGGGGGACACATATTTATGTATAAAAGACATCAAAACGTGTATTTTGCATAATAGGGGACTTTTAAAGCACTGGATCTAAATACTATTTTGAGCTAAGAGGTATTTTACTCGAGTATTCTCATTTTATTCTAATATATACTTCACTATGTTTACAGCTGGTCTGCACACCTGCCTGGGATGCTAACATTGACTGGGTTGGAAGAGATAACATCAATATGAGTGAGGCGCATTAATTTAATGCAGGGGTGTCCAAACTACGGCCCGGGGGCCAAATGCGGCCCGCAAGCCATTTTGAATTGGCCCTCAGCTAATTCCAAAAGTATAATGGAATATGCCCCATAAATGAAACTTTTGCTTGTCTTGTATTGTACTTCTTTAGTGTACTACTTAACATATATTACACATTAGTATTCATGTGCTAATAAGCCCACTTTCAAAATAATTCCATCAATTACAGTTGAATACATTTTCTAATAAATCTAAGTTGATAAAAAAAGCCTAATAACTTATTTCCATAACAAGCTTGAAATACACCCTTCATATTTCCTCTTATTATAATCAATCTGAAGCTTCTGTTTTAAGGAATGAGCTGCCAAGAAAATAAATTAAACTCTCTGGAGAGCTGTGATGTAGGCTGTTTTTTCTTAAAGCACATTCAAGTATAAAGCATGATTTGCCTACATTTGATTGATTTTGCTAACTTATAACTCAATTTAAGAGGCAGTATACCTCTCCTCTAGTAAGTGGCCCAGCCCTTCGTATGTTTTTCTATATATGGCCCTCGGAGAAAAAAGTGTGGACATCCTGATGTAATGGATGCCTAACCGCCAGTATGTTTTTCTTTTTTGCCAAAGATAGTTTCTTTAACTCAATGTCTTTTGTTTTCCACTGACAACATGCAGCTTAGATTAACCACTGCAGTGATGCACACTCATGCACCACTGATTCCAACTTCCACACCTCAATGTACCTTTTTCATTCGTCGTACGTTGGTAACGAGCATTGACATGTATCACAGTTTGAAAACATGTGGGGGAACAGGTCTGACTGGTCTGCAGTGCAGAGTAGAGTGTGAGCTTGTTGTTTCACAGATACAAATAGCGTTCACTGTTAAAGTTTATATTCAAACTCATCAGATTGACTATTTTACAAATATCAGACTGAGTTTATATTTTGGTGCATTTTTAAGACTAAACATGTGGGGTTGGTTCACTCAGCTTTTTTGTGGGGGGGGGGGGGGGGGGGGGGGGGGGGGTGGGGGGTTAACAAACATCATTTCGTATGGCTGCCTCTCACTGATCGCTGCCTGCTGCCAGTAACTTATATTATATAACAGTAAGATTTAGCTTCTTATTTGTAGAATAGTAAAATAAATATAACCTAATACTATTCTAAAATGTCATGAAAGGCGCCTAAAAATCAAATGTATTAAAACAACGATAGCGTAACCACACATCTTAAGCATTTAAGTAATAATAACCCAAGCCTTCTGGTTCTTGATTTAAAAAATAAATATGCTTCTAAAAATATGATAATCGAATCCCTCTATTACTGTAACATCATATATATTTACTCACCTTCCCATATGATTTCAGAGTTTAAACATGTTTGAAGTGTACTTTATATTTTTAAATATCACCCTAATATTTTCCTCAAACCCTGTATTGCAGTTTACAGTCAGATTCATTCATTTAGTTTTATCGCAGCATCTTAGGTTAAAGAGGAAGAAAAATTCACTTGTTCTGTTTAAAGGCATTCAGTGTCAGTCAGCCTGGAGAAAGATGATGAAGAGGAGGCTCTGGATTGCAGAAAAATTATATTTAATATCATTTCTCTTCACAGACCCCCGACCACCAAAGGACTTTAGTTAAACATTTTCCCTGGCTGCGGCACTTCCTGTCTGAGCAGAGCTGAGGCTTTGAGTTTATACAGGACACAGGTATGTTAGCTTAAGCTATAATGCTAGCTGCTGTATGCTGTCTAATCTTCACTAGTCGGAATTCAGTCACTGGGGTTGGTTTTTACCAGTTTTATTTTTATTCCAAAATGTACACTGAGCCAAATGTATGACATAATATTATTCATAAGGTAGATAGATGTTAAGAATTCAGATTCTAACATTTGACCGAATATTAAGTTAGTAATGTTGTCTCTGTAGTGCACTCACCTGTGTTTTGCAGAGATTCTTCTGTGTTGTTGAGATAAAGCTGCTGGATTCAGTCGAATGTTTCTTAGAGAGAAACAGAGAGACTTGTCACGACTGCAGCTCTGCTGTCACTTAAAATGCTTTACCTGTTAATGCAGTGCAGTTGAAGCTCTCCTATCAGTGTTGCTCCACCTCTCACTGGCCCGTCGCCAAGAGGGGGTGGAGGAAATATTCAGATTATTCATTGAAGTAAAATAACTACAACACTGTGAAAGATACTATAGTACAAGTAAAAGCATTCAAAACCGTCCTGCAGTAAAAGTATGTATGTTTCATCAGTTAAATACAGTACGATCAGCAACATGCACTTTATCTAATCTAAAGTGATTATCTTGCAATTAATGTTCTGTCAATGCTCTACTGTTATAATCTGAAAAGTACCTAAAGCTGTCAGACAAATAGAGTAGAATTATAAGTTGTATAAACATATTAAAAAGTACAAGTAACTCAAATTGGTAAGTACAGCACCTCAGAAACGTAGTTACAATAATTCCACCAAAGAAAAATACCCAAGAGTCAAGTTCTGCATTCAAATGGCATTTCAATAAAACAACATAAAATAAGGGCATATCCTACTTTGCAGTTAATATCTATGTATCAAATATACAAAGTTTAAGTTCAGTGTAGGAAAATCAAGCAGTAACAATGAAAGTTTGTGAATAGAAATGTCCTGATATGAATATATGCTCTTTCTGTGTGTGTTTTGATCAATCATAAGTGGCAGAGTTTTTGATTCCCAGGTTATTCCTCACATGACCAACTCTGGGTTCATAAATATGCTCTCCTTCTTTGTCCATCCCATGTGACCTGAACAGAGCATTAGCATTAGCCTGTTAGCATTATCTTAGCTACAGAGTTCAGGGGTTCTCAGCTCTTCTCTCTTTATTTCTTCACTTTGTTCACACTATAAAAACACTCTGTAGTTGAAAATGTGAACAGATATCACACAAGATGGATGAGGCACAACTTTGTTTCTCCTTTAGTGGCAAAACTACTGAACCTCATATTAATTATGATCAGGATTTTTCTATGTTAAACATTGATGTCAAATAATTGTGTATGAATGAATCCTTAATTTACCTTTTTAAAAATTGTTGAGTTGGTTTTCCTATCTCAACGTATGCCTATACTCTTAAATGTTTTCGAGGTTGTATTCTTTTAGTAAGTTGATTAATTTGATAGCATTTAAGGAAAAGAGATAAAACATTAAAGGTGGGGTAGGTAATTTTGGAGAAACCGGCTCGAGATCGCTAGAATTTGAAAATACACAAACCGGAAAAAATCTGCCACTTCCTTACAGAGCCCCTCCTCCAACACACACGAACGCGCACATGACCAATGAGAGCACGAGATAAGTCTGTGCACAGATGGAAGGCTGACAGGCAGGCAGGCCATCCAGTTATTTTAGCCGGGCCGGCTCAGATGATTGGTTGTGCTTTTTACAGTACTACGGCTTCCACAGATGACATTTTTTTTATGGATTTTTGTCAAGGCACTTAAGATATTCATTGCTATCGGGAATGTTAAGAGCATTCCATGGAATATAACAAAAAGTGTATCTCGAGCTGGTTTCTCAAACTTACCTACCCCACCTTTAATGTACTGCCATTATTAACAATTGCACTCTGCTTACTACCTTTTCTTAAGGCTGAATCACATTTAGTGAGCATTTGTTATTTTTTTCACACCAAGACCCCAAAGTAAATCAGCAGTTTTCACCAGTAGATTATAATAATGTTCAATAGAAATCAGTTAAATCATCAGTTCATCTAATAAAACAAACCCATTCCTAAATGCATTGATGTAAAATAAACACTCCTAGAACATCATGAAACATAACCATTAGAAACTTTGTGAACAAGCATTGGAACACTGTAATAATGCTAATGACAAATACAATAAAACACTCTGACCAAATCGTAAGAAGATCAGACAAAAACTGTAGGAGGAGTTTGTTGAAAGATGGCACCTAAAAGTGCAAAAAGTGGTCAAAAATTGCACATACATTTAAAAACTGAACTGGCCGACTTCCTGTTGGGTTGCGATATGCCTCCAAGAGACTTTTCTGGGCGTCTCACCATGCCACACATGCCTACCAAATTTCGGTGCTATAGAGCTGTTTTGCCTGCATTTGAATAATATCCATCATTTCAGCATGATAAGGCCCTAAAAAATGCTAATCATTACTTGTAAATTATAATAATACAAAATAAATTACAGTAATAACAATAGGTCCTCTGCTCTGACCTGCACTCTAAAAAGTCATTCAGGGGACCTTTGACCACCACTTAATTAAATCATGGTTAAAAAAAAAAATTTGAATTAATTGATTTAGATAAACATTTCAAGTTGCAAACATTAATTTATAAGTTCTGTTGACGTAATAATGTTGGTAATTACATCAACTTAATATTGTGTGTAATTTAAACTCGGATTCTGCGTTGATTTGACTTAAAGCTCCCATGTCATGCTTTTCCGGTTATTACCCGTCCCCCTTGTGTGTTATGAAGGTTTTTATGCATGTAAACGGTGTGCAGAGTCAAACCCTCAAAGTACACCCTGTAGCGAGTAAAACTCTAACACAGAAAATACCTCCCCAAAACGCCTCGTTGGAGATACGTCACTGCCCATTTGATTCTTCCGGGTACCGCCTGATGTCATGCGGTACCCGGAACGAAATGGACCAATCCCGAAGAGCTATGGCCACACCAGCAGCGGCGTGTTCCTCCTCCAGAGGTTCGAAGAACCGGCATTTCACAGACGAAAGCTTCCAAACATTGCCCAGTTTGAGGCCGGATATGCACAGCTTGTTTGGACCGTTTGGAGCAGGGGGAAGATCTGGGTATACAACCTGTAAGTTTGCATTGTTATTTGTGTATTTATCAAACAAGACTGTTTAAATGTGTAAACTGTGTTGGACTGCTAAGCCATTGACACAGTGCTAACTGTGCTAACTAAGTTGCTAGAGTTTCCATATATCAACTCTAATATCAGCAGATGGCCTTGCATACATGTATCTCATAGCAGGAGAATGTCTGCATTCACACACAAAATACCTATTGACAGTATACTCCGGGTGATTTGCCGGTCAGTCGCGAAACGTAATTACATTATAGCTGGCGTAGTGATCTAACACACGGAGCTAGAGCTAGTTTTGGTCAGAAAACATTTTTGTGATGCTACGTTGCTAGCGTTAAATATATCAACTACAATGTCAGCAGATGGCCTTACATGTTTGTCATGGCAGGGAGAATGTCTGCAGTCACACACACGGAATACTCATACAGTATACTGTACTGTGATTTACCGTACATTGTGACCGTACATATACTGCATGTAGCTAACGAGGCTAGCTGTATGCTAGCGCAAACAATGTATTCATGCAAGTTACATTGTATGGTAGCAGAATACCCGTATACGATTGCAATTATAAACACGTTATTGCTAGCCTAATATGAACCTGTTGATAATTTGTGATCTTCTCGCTCCAGGAAAGAAACTTAAAATAACGAGACTAATGGAGTCTCTGAAAGGTTCAAATGGGTAGTTTAATTAAGTAACGTGGTTAAAGAACAAGCATGGTGAATGGAGAGACAAAGCCGGTGTTGTCTTGAGGGAGGCTGCAGCGAAGGGAAGAGAGCGAGTTATCTTTCGTCCTGCCTTTTATCCACGTCTCGTTGTCCCCCGCTGTGCAAATAGTGGGTGGACCCCCTACTCATTTGCCGGTTCGATATCGCGAGAGCACAGATGATTTCGACATTGATATTCTCTGCCTACTTCCTTAAGCATTTTCTCCTCATTATCTCTGTCATGACTTTCTATTTAATACCTTATAAACAGCTGTAATACTTAGTTTAGAAGTCCTAGTGGTTCCGCTCCGGCACAGTTCTTATTTTACGGAAATTCCCTCTGACGTCATAGCTTCTCACGTATCTGTAAACACTACGATCAACTAGACCTTCATTTAATATTCAGCAGTAATAATATCTTAACGTCTATCGATGTAGTGTTAAAGTCCGTACGTTTGTGTGTAACACTCCAAGTCATTTTCACTTTACATTCAGAAAACGCAACATTAGTCACAAGCTAACCGGATAAAGGATTTTTCAGAATAAAAGCTTGGCATTGATTTCCTGAGAACTTCCGGGCTTTTTCCACAATAAAACAGCTTTAAACTGACGATATGTTTTAGACTGAATTATGCTGTTTAACATTGATTTTAATTTCTAACAATCCCTCCTTTCACACCATTTAAGGTGTGAACACAATACTAAAAGTAATAAGTTCTTCATCTGACTGCTTTTAAACTGACGGTATGTTTTAGACTAAATCATGCCATAAAACATTGAATTTTAATTTCTAAACAACCACTAGCTTTTGTTCATAGTAGTTTATTACACTGCATTATAGTTGCCTTTCCTCCAAGCTAACGTTCATATCGTGTTAGCTACCAAGGTAAACAAAGCTAGGTTAGCATATTAGCAGGCAAGCTGTTCATTACACAACTACTACTAACGAATCTAAAACAACTAAGTTTCTCTAATATTTTGTGATTTGCATTTGATTTCGTCCAGCCAGATCCTGGCGGACAATCCATGACGGGGAAGGGATTCTACTACTACTGAGGGTGCTAAAAGGCACCGCACCGACTGTGCGTAGGCAAGATGCGAGGAGAGGAATGAATGATATACCGTTTGTATATATGTATATTTATGTTCATTTTGTACATTTCTAAAAATAAAGTTTAATGGAAATACTTAGTAGGCCTATCCTTTCTTCCCTGAATTCATATATAGCAAACCATGATTTGATTTCTCATCAAACAGTAGTAGTTTATAACGGGTAAAAATAACTTACTCTTTGTTATGAGAGTAGCTCGTAGGCCACAACGGAAAGACAAGGAGACATACACGAGTTTACAAAACCACGGCACATTTATTGTGGTAAATGCAAAGATAGGTGGTTGAGAGGATCGCAGAGTTAGTCTTCCTGCAGCCGCTTGGAGAGAGACTGTGTCCGGAGGTGTCCGTGATCGTGCTGATTAGCCTCTTCAGCTCCACCCCATCGTAAGA